CTAAACTATGGCTGAATTCTATCCAAAGTACGATTTATCGTCTTGCGATTTATTACAAATAGAACGATAAATGGACATGGACGGCGAACGAAGACACATGACAACATCTAACGCTTGCTACAAATATTTATTTATACTCCATGTTAAAGACGCGTGAAGCATGATCATTCTCGGTAATGTGTAAAGTGAACTTTTCAATTCACTTTATATATGCATAAAAAGCGGTCAGACTTATTTCAAACAATCATTGCCCGAGGATCATTTATAAAGAAATATATTAAATGTCGCAGGGTCAACATGGGTGTCGTTGTTACAAATCGCAAGACCGTTGGTCGAATTTAGGTAGCGCGACCAAAATTTATATGCAACTAATGATCGACGATTAAAATTTGAGAAAATATAACGGGGAGCCATAGAACTTTGGCCGTCGATAAGAACTTGAATGCGCATAAACGACGGCTCGAAAAACAGAAAGATTCGAATAGCGGCCAGCTACAGCGATTGGACTATAAGTATTTTGAAATGAAGTCGTGTACAAGTGCCGGTCGGGCGTTGAATCGGAACTCGAATATGTAAAAAATAAATGACTAATGACGAAAGTCATCTATCTCATAAAACTGATCGCACTTGATCACTCATATTTGCTGTACAAAGATGTCGCTATGAAAAAACTGAATGAATGTCGCTAAGATCATATTATCCGTTGTTTTTTTGTTCATGTTTTTTCAGTAATATACTCTGCAAGTTTGTCTGAGTTTGTTTGAGACTCAACTGATGCTTCTCTTAAAGCTTAGAATATGTTTTCCCAATCGTACTAAAAGCTTTCTCAGAATTTCCAAAAGTTATAAATTATATAATAAAGATGACAAACTGACGCATTGATCAAGTATTTCCTGAACTGGCACATCGATATCACTTCTAATGCAAGTCCATATTGTTTTTAACAAGCGCTGCACCTTAAGCGGCGCCTATCAAAATGTTACATCATTTCGATCTTTTGTTTATGAATCAAATTGATTGGAATGATGGCATGGAATGGAATGATCCGGAATGGAAAAATCCACAAAAAAACGCTTCACTTCGAAAGTGATGCATGAAATTATGAAAACTCTTCTCAGCAACTCTGTAATGAATGGTTTACGATATCAATGATATGGAATGCAGTGCGCGTTCGAAAGGAAAAGCTCATCAAAAATACCTAAAAAGTTATTCTCAACGATCGAAGATATGTCGGGCATACGTCGGCAAGATGCCAAAAAGCAGTATATCCAACAATGTGCGATTCGAGCATAACAAAGCGGTGTTCCAAACGGCTAACGCGGATACCCATAATAAAAAGGAATCATCAACGATCGAGTCGATGACTACGGAGAGGAAATTTCCTGAATTAAAATTTTAATTACTGCAATGCAGTATCAATCGGATTCCGTAGATCTGGTCCGCAGCAAAGATGTCATTATTTGCTGTCACAAGCGAACACTTCAGGTAAAAAGATTAAGATCAAATAACGACGAAAAGGCGCCAACCGTGGTTTTTATGCCAAATCGTTCTAGAGAAACGCCTTAGAGAAATACTTTAAAATGAATGCATTCCATTGATCACTGCTGACGGACCCAATTGTTAACAAACAAAGTCAAGGTCTAAAAAAAAAAAAAAAAGTCTCTTTTTTTTTTTTGCTTACTTAGTTGCTTGAATTAATGGCCTAGATGGGGTTGAAATTCAAATTGCAATATCAGACAAATATCAAAGTTGGAAAATTTCAATACAATATGGGCCATGTATTGAAACAAAAACTTGTCTCTAAGGAATAGAGACTAACGAGTGATATATCTATTCAATCTATTCAGTTAATTACACAACAATGTAATATGGAGGGGGTGCGGCTGATTTTCTCTATTTTCAAAATAAAAATTTTTATCGCATAAACTCGTGCTTGGAAAAGTTGAAGTCACTTCCAAACTCCTTTGCCATTTTTGAGGCGAAATCTTCATTTTCACTAATGCGAGAATATTTACCATAAATACTACAAACTTGCGCAAACCGAGAGATGGACAAGCGAACAGAGAGTTATATTAAAGAATTAAAAATTTTTGCAATATATTTGCATTAAAATGCAACTTCTCACCGGATGATATGATCAAGTTCATCACTTCCATTTTTTATACAGTTATGACGTTGTAATTTCTTAAATTTTAAATCCATTTCCCAGGAATGAATTTTGAATCATCCTTCATGGTGTTAATGAACATATAATACCTTGAAGAGCGAATGCATAAGAAACAAGTTCAAACAAACATCTTACTTACTGTTCACATAAAGACAAAGACTACAAACCGCTATTATCTGACTTGCATGAATTATGATCAAAATATCATCTACAAATGACTACTAACCACACTTGCACACTATGATCAAAATACCATCTACTCGAGCTCTGCCCCTTAAGTGCAACTAAAAATATAGCATACGTTTAGGAAAAGATGTAAAATAATCGCTTAAATTGAGCATGTTTTCACTAATCTGAACAATAGAACTAACGAATGCTTCGTTAAATAAACCTAAGCAAGCCTTCTTCTTCGCCTCTTCTGCTTGCCTCTTGCTTCTTGTCAGTTGTATTGATTTTAGTTCAATTTTTTCGGCCTTATCGACTTGATTATGTATACAAACAAAATAAAATACTAAAATTCTATAGCATATCCTAAGGCAGTAAGAAAGATTTTTTTCCCTATGCTAATCTCTCTCTGATCTGACGAGAGACGACAATGCGATAGATATTCATACTTGAATATAATTAAAACTTAATTATATCGCATAACATAAACTGTAAGCTGTATGCTGTATGTTTGTATATATGTTAAATAATACCGAAATTCTTCTTGTAATGAGTTGATGAATCATAACTCAGCATATTCTTGATTCAGTTAGTATGCCTTACTTGGAAATACACTCTAAAAACCCAAACCTTGGCTTTTAGTTAAATCCATTATTATCGCTTTACTTTAAGTAAAATAACTTGAAATTTCTTTTCAGTTAATATGTTATTCATTTTATTGTTAATTTTTTTTTTTTTTTTTTAACAAGTCAAAAGTAAACAAATAAT